ATGGGATCTAGACCCCAAAAAGGAAAAAAACCTGGACTTTCCCACATGGCCAAATCTCTGGCATTCCCCTGAAGCCATAATCCTATCAAACTGGCCTTTTATCATGCCTATGCCCAATCTCCCAATTCTCTGTTACCTTTAACCTAGGCTAGCTCTCCATTGTCTTACCTCTCTATGGCCATTTCCCACCCTTAATCCTATCCAGGTTCCATTCTCCCTTGGCCTGTGGTCCAGGTCCTGGCTTTCTATTACCTCACAGTCCTGTCAGTTTCCCTGCCCCCAGACTACTTGGCCACTCCTAGATCACTCCCACAGTCCTTCTGTATATAATGACCATCTTGCCTCTATTAAGATGCTCAGATTCTTAAAATCTAGCCACTGCTCAGTTTCTTATCTAGCCAATAGCTCACTAATGTTCAGATTCCTTAAGAGTCTGCCCAATATGACAGACGTTCTAATAAACCTTGTCTTTGGCTGGGAAAAAAAAAAGAAAAGAAGATATAAACAAAATATACAGTATAGGGGATGAGGACACAATAATTTAGGGAATCAGGAAAAGTGTCTTGAAGAGGGTGGCACCTAAACCACGTCTTGATGTGAGCTAGGAGTTCTGTGAATAAGAGATGAAAAAAACATTCTAAGCATAGGATATATAAAGCCTGTACAAAGATCCAAACGCTAGGGATATTTTTTTAAAGGGAGGGGGTGGGGGGGAAGCAGAGTAGTAAGTGGGCCAATTTGGCTGAAGATTTTCTTTCCCCCACCAGCTGTACTCCTTGAACTTGGACCCCTCTGTCATCATGTTCCGAGGAAACCTCTTCACTACTAAACTCATCATCCTTTAAGACTGTATCAGCTTTGGTACTCACACCCCTTTAGTACTCTCTCCATACTCTCTGCTTAGAGAGCTGGAGGGTGAAGCAAAAAACCTCTCCCAGAGCATCCATTTAAAGAGGGCTCAGGGACCAGCCAACTCCTCATTTCAGACCAGATGCACTTCTCAGACTAGGGTCCACCATGCCCCCATGGCAGACATCCCCCACCCACTCCTTTTAGCATTCCTCTAATAGACTATAAACTCCTTGAGAGCAAAGACTGTCTTTCTCTTTCTTATTCCCTACGCTTAGTACGTTATAGAGAATATGGTACAATTTTCCTGGAAAGACACGCCGTATGAAAAGCTTTAACGCAAGAGTGTTATTTTATCCTAAAGACAACAGAGAGACAGAAACTTCCTACAAATGATAGAAGCATGATGAGGCCTATATGGTCGCAGGAAGGCAGATGGACTGGAAAGAGGGAGACTGGAGGTGGGGGACCAATCAGAGGACTACTAGCAACACTCCAGGTGAGAGGTGATGAGGGTCTGGACTAAGGTGACTAACAGGAGTGGAGAAAGGAGATGTGAGAAATGTTGTGGACACAGAATTGGCAAGCTTAGTAATTAACTGGCTACAAGTTAATCAAGTATGACTCTTTGCGAGTCTGGGTGACTGGAAGAATGTTGGTATGCTTAACAGAAACTGACAAGTTAGAATATGGAGTGGGTTTATGGAAAAAAGTAATGAATTCTGTTTTAGAAAGCAGAGATTTATATATGACATCTTAGTGCAGATATTTAGCAAATGGAGATGTGGGATTGAAACTCAGGAGAAAGTTCAGATATATAGATTTAGGAGTAATCTCACAGAGATGATAGCTGAATTTCTGAGAGTCGATGAGGTCGCCAAAAGAAGGAAGAAAAAGCCTAGAGCAGAGCCCTTGTATACGTACCCTCACACATGGGGGAGGATCATGAATGACGTGACTGCAAAGGAGACTAAGAAAGGGTCAGACAGGTAAGAGGAGAACAACAGAGCAGTGTCATGAAAAATTAGGGAAGAAAGAGTACACAGAAGGTGGACATCTTCAAATGCTACAAAAGCTAATGGACTTAGCAATAAAAAGATCAACTGCAACCTTGAAGAATCCAATTTTAGTGTTGAGAAATGAGTAGGAATTAAGAAAGCAGAAGCAACTATTTCTAGGCCGAGATGGTTTTTCCTAGGAATTTGACTGTGAAAGGAAAAAGAGATACAGAGGGGACAACTGGTCAAGGGAAGGTTTTTAAAGGATGAGGGCATTGAATGCAGGATTTGCACATCATTTTCAAGGCAATACAGAAGGAACCAATGCATAAGGAAAGACTGAAAATTAAGGAGAAAGAAATGATGATATTGTAGACTAGGATGACTGCGATATGAAGGAAGAGAGCAAGGGCAAACTTGCAAGAGAAAATAATAGTAAAGGCGGCAATCAAGGCTACAAGTAGTGGGGCTGGTATTAGCCATAAGGGCCATTTCATAAAGCAAATGAAGACAGAAAATGATGCATGATGCTGGGGTGATTTGAAGTATGGAATTAGAAAATGAGAAAATTTATAACTAACTCAATCTTTTCTGGGAAATCTGGGTTAGTGTTTGGGAAAGGAGTAGCCACAAGAGAATGATTAAGCAAAGGATTCAGGAGGGCAGTGTAAAATTAAAATGGTTAACAAAAAGATAGAGATTTTGAAGAAAAATGAGGCCAGATAGAGTTGATATTATATGAAAGCAAGGAGAACAGTGACTGGAGGCTAGGGTGATATGTGGTTATTATGAGAGGAATTTCATAGTTCTAGACTACGAAAATGAAACACTTGTTGATGACGACAAGAAAAAAGGAAATACTGATAAAAAGTTGTAAGCCTCTCTGAGGAAAAATATATAGATTAAGCTTTAGTTTTCTAAATTAAAAAAAATTTACTTTGACAATGAAAAATTGTTTTTATTTTTATTTTTTACTGCTACAAGGGGGTTTCCAACATTGGATTATTATTATTATTATTATTTTGATTAGGCAGTTGGGATTAAGTGACTTGCCCAGGGTCACACAGCTAGTAAGTGTCAAGTGTTTGGTCTGAGGTCCGATTTGAACTCAGGTCCTCCTGACTTCAGGGCCAGTGCTCTACCCACTGCACCACCTACCTGCCCCCCCATTGGATTATTAAAGTAATTCTTCACAGTCAAATGTTAACATCAAAAATGACTGTTAAAATGTTTAAACTGATAAAGCAGAAAGCTAATATAAAGAAGAAAAAAACAAAAGTTAAGATGAAGCTTTACATGTAGGACTGCTCTAAGACTTTGGAGTCATACAAGCTTCCTGTTGCTATCATCAGGCAGAATTATGTTCTACAATATTATAATCACTTAAATGACAAGTTCCAAGACAAGAGAGACTATTATTTTTAAGAAAAACAAAACAAAATAAGAAAAATACCTAAACATATTTTCAATGAAATCAGGAAGGTTCACTTGACTAAGTATTTGCAGACAATATGAATATCCATTTTAACCCATAACATAAGTGCCAAGAATAGGTTCAATAATTGCCAAATTCCAAGAATAAATTCAACAGTTGACAAACCACAAGTACAATAATTATCAAATACTGTCTTCCATTCTTCTGATTTGTTGGAACACCACAAATCTTGATATGCTGAAACGAGGCACTTCAAATAACTTTGCAAATAACTTCCCTCTACATATAGTTAAAAAAAAAATAAAGAAATCACTTAACTAGCTAGCATGACTATAAGGTCCTGTGCCATATTAGATGGCATGAGGCTGTTTAAGAAAAAAAATTAATCTGATGTCTAAAGATATCATATTAAATGTCATGTGATAATATTCCTCTTGTAGTATGAGGAATTATGTCGCTACCTGAATTATGTAGCCAAACTGATTTGAGAGAAGAAAAATAGCAATTTTATAACTAAATTCCATCTGGCGAAACTTAGTACTTGAGGTTCTGAATTTGAAAAAACGAAAATTATAATTCAAAAGGAGAACGTAATTTCTTGCTGCTGCACAAATTTCCCAAATATATATTGCACAGGTTCTCCAATATAAAACAGTTCTTCCCTGGTCTTTGGATTTTTTTCTTATTTTTCTAGGAGGAAATCAGTAACAGGAGAGTTTCATAGATGAAGAACTCAATCTATTCCATAAACAAGGGAAGGCATCCCATCACCCCTACATCCTACCAAATTTTTAAAAAAACCAAAAACCTCTAAGTGGTCAAGGTACAGATCCCACACAAACTAAAGGGGCTAGAGGGTACACAGCAGCAGAGGTCTTATGTCTTGGGTGGCCCAGCGGCCTTGGAGTGGGGAAGAGCAGAATTCAAATCCAGCCTCAGACGCTTTCTAGCTGTGGGACCCAGGCCAAGTCATGTTTGCCTCATTTTCTGCACCTGTACAATGGGGATAACAATAGCACCTACCTCCCAGGATTGTTGGAAAGCTCAAAACGAGACAATAACTGTAAAGCGCTTAGCACAGTGCCCGGTACACAGGCACTAAACGTCAGCACCACTTTTACCATGATTATTCACGTTCTTTGGGATCCTCAACACACCAGCGGCTCAACAGCTTTGCGTTTCTCTCTAGTTTAACGGGAGAAAAGCAGGCCCCTCCCAAAGACAAGCTTCCACCGATGCACTGCGTTCATGTTGCTTCTCCTACAACTAAAACGGCCAAAGGCAGCCCCCAAAAGCGTGCGATACAAAACACACGCGTTTCACCTCGGACTCAAACTCCGCTGGCCCCCACGAGTACGCGGCGTTCGGGGGCTCCCCGACTCAGAGGCCGCTGTCATCTTCTCTTCCTTCCTGCATCGTGGGCAGCCCTTCCCATTTCCTCCAGCGATCTGGAGGCTTCTTCGGATCGGGGGCTTAGCCTTCCACGTTTCCACACCCCGCGGGAAGTTACAGAAGAGTTGATCCGGCCCTCCCAGAGAGCTGCAGCCCCCCTCCCACTCAGGAAGCCAGCCCCTCGCCGCCCTCCCCCGTTCCGCGCTTGCCCGGCCATCCCCTCCCCCAGCCCCTCCTCACAGCTGCTTCCCCCGCCCCTCGCCCCCCCGCAGGGGCAGCCAGCCCCCGGACTCCCTCCCCTCCAGCTCCAGGGGCTGAAGACCCACCTCGAAGAGCTCCGCCGTCGTAGCCATGCCGGCGGACTGTCCGTCCGGCTCTCGCCGCGCAGAAGGATCCCCTCTTTATTCTGCCCCGCGCGGCGGCCTCCCGCTTCACATGCTGCGCTCCCCCGGCGCTTCGTACAGCCCTCCAGCTAATCCACCGCCCCCGGCCCTGCCGCTGTCCCAGCCGGCCCAGCGGGGCGGCAGAGCGGCCATAAAAGCGGAACCGCTAAAGCCTCTCGGCGGCCACCTCCCAGCGCCGCCCGCGCCGCTCTGCGAGTCACCACCCCCGCGCGCCGGAAGTGGAGCTGCGCCCGGCGGGGCCCGGGGAGGGCTCTTCTGGGGTGGGGTGCTGGGAGGGGCCGAAGGCGAAGTGAAAACGAAGAGAGACGTCGGGTGGCGTATTGGACACTGATGAAGCATGAGCCTTCCGAGCCACCGTCCCGGAAGTGGCGTGAGCAGGAAGAGGCGCTGGGGGCGGTGGCAGAAGGTTTCGCCGGGCATCCCGGCTGAGCGGTTTTGCTGGGAGATTGTTTTGGGGCCTGTCATTCCGCCTTCTTTGCGGATGTGGCGTGTATTGGTCGATGCGGTCGTAAGAGCCTTCGGACCGTACCGTACCGTAGAGGGAGCCTATTTCCCCGCCGGGCCGGAGCCATAGGTGGCAGGGGGCGACCGGCAACTCCTGGAAAGACCCCTGAGGGCCTCAACGGGGATCCGGGCCTCTGGGAAGCCTCAGCTCGAGTTTTCTCCTGACGGTGCCTGAGACGGGCGATGAGTTGAGGCATGGCCCAGCGGGCGATTTGGCTGGTGAGCCACGAACCAGGGACCCCGCGTGGGGGGACCGTGAGATTCTCCAGGTAAATGGGAGTGGGCACCCGCAGGCGTCGTGATGGCTTCCGAAAATACCGACTTCAGCGCGTTTTTTCTTTCTTCCCAGAGGAGCAACGCGATCCATCCCCGGGGCAGATGAAAATCAGATTCAGAACCGTATTTGTATAATGGGTGTTTTCACATAGTTGCTGCCTATTCTTCCCCCATCCCCTAAAAACTTCAACGCTTCTCTTCATTTTAATCTTTAGAAAGGGTTGTGTTTCAGCCCTTAGTCATGTGCCTCGAACTTTACAAATACTTACTGTCTTAACAAGATAATCAGATGTTTAGTTTGTGGCTTGAGGAATGAGTAGAGAAAGTAAAGGAAGGAAGGTCGTGATATGAAGGAAAGAAGAGCACCAGATTTGGAGTCAGGGCCTGGGCTCACATCCCAGTTCTGCTGTTTGCATCCACCTGTAAGACCTTGGACAAATCAGTTAATTTCTCTAGCCTTCAGTGTCTTAATCCACAAAATGAAGGAGGATTAGCCGCAGTTTGGGGGAGTGCTGGGCCTGCTTAGGTGATCAGTCATTAAGGACCTATTCATCCCTATTACTTAAGATACTAAGAAATGAAAATTGGAAGAAACATTGTGCTTCTGGAGTGAGATTTAACTAGTCTACTAGTTGAATAGGCCAGCATTTTATCCAGGTAAGCATGTGAAAAATGGAAATAGATGGGAAAGTCGGTATAATCACATGAACTTTTGGTTTTTCTCAATGAAAAACAGTAATTCTGCCCTTAGTTGTTGAAGGGACCACAGCAAAATAGAAGCCCTAAAAAGAGGTTGGCGGTTGATCTAAGTCTAATTCATTTATAAGCCTAACAATTGTCAGGCATTTATTAAGGACCTATAATATGTCAAGCACTGTGCTAGGCACTGGGACTGTAAATACAAAGAATTAAAATAATCTCTAATCAAAATGGATTCATAGTCTAACAGGAAAAGAAATACATTTATAAGTGAATATAAAATAAATAGAGACTAAATGTAAAGTTAAGGAAGGAGAGCAATAGTAGTTGGGGAGAATCAGGGAAGACTTTTGAGGAATGTTTCACTTGAGCTGTGCCATAAAGGAAGAGAAGGATTCTAAGAGCTTGGCAATTCAGAAATGAAAATTCGTGGTATTTGACACAAAGAAGGTTGCTTAGTTATTTTTTTTCTTTAATAACTTTACACTCTTGACAGTTAGGTTTAGTTTTTAATCTTTTATTAAGATTGCTTTGATTTGGAGTCAGAGGACCTGAGTTTTACTACCTCTGTGATTTTGGACTAGTTATTTATACTCTCTAGGCCTCAGTTTCTTCATCTGTAAAGAGTCAGACTGAGCTCTAAGGTATCTTCCAGTTCTAAATCTGTGGTCCTATGAAATTTGAAAATTTACATAATTCATTTTAGTACGATAAACATGATTTTTAAAAGTTTTCATGTTATTACAGTAATAATTCAAAATAATATTTCACGTGTGATTGGATGAGTTTTTCTTCACCCATTCATATTGAAAATTAGCCAGCCATTGGTAGAATCTAGTGAGATAAATGATTCTTAACCTAGCAAAGTACCCTTCTTACATCAAAAGCTGATTTGGTGCCTTTTAAAGCCTTAGAGATCAGTCAATCAAGGTTAGGGCAGCTACATAACACAGTGGATAGAGGGCCAAGTCTTGAATCAGGAAGATCTTCCTGAGTTCAAATCTGGCCTCTGATACTTACTAGCTTTGTGACCCTGAGGTCACAACCTTGTTTGCCTCAGTTTCCTCATCTGTAAAATGAGCTGGAGAAGAAAATGGCAACCCACTCCAGTATTTGTCAAGAAAACCCCAGGTGGGGTCACAAAGAGTCGGACTCGACTGAACAGCAAGTCAAGGCTGGTTTTGGGTCATATCTGTCCCATAGCAGCCCCAGTGTCCTTGAACCTATTAAAATCTTTTAGAGTAAAAACCACTCATTTTTAGAATCTCAGTGGGTGAGAAGTTCTGTGATTTTGGTCATAACGCTTCATTTCTCTGAGCTTCATTCTGGTATTGAACAAGGTTTTCTCAAAAGTGTCTTTCAACTCTGCCATTTGTAGCCTATTCCAAGCAAAGCCTAGATTAGCATTTATTAAACACTTATTATACGTCAGACACTCCTGCTAAGTACTGGAGGTAAAAAGAGAGGTAACAGACAGTCCCTGCCCTCAGGGAGCTCACAAGCTAATGGATTTTTACCCCATATTCAGTCATAGATTTTTAGAGCTTAAAAAGACATTTGAGAACCCTTAAATCAACCCATATATTTTCTAAGTAAAGCTACTGAGAACTAGGGAAATTAAAAGTCTTACCTAAAGTCATTGTGCTAGTTAATGATTACAGTATTTGGGACTGGTCTATACTCCATAGGTGGTGGCAGAGAACTTTTAAAACTAAGAGTATGTAATATTTTAGAGTATGTGAAAGTATCTTATGTATCCCCAAAAGAATGCTTTAGTCCTATGTCTGGCATTGTATCTAAGGTATGCAAATCATAAAGAATTTTTTTAAACCTTTAGCTTTTTACTGCTAATTTGTGTCCTTCAGGACCAGACTTTTTTTTTGGGGGGGGGTGAGGGGAAGAAGAATGTGAAGAGTGTTAGTTTCATTTGTAAGTAACAGTAATCTGTAGATCTTCTACTTTTAAATCTACCCATTGAATGCAAAAGTTTAAGCTCTGTATATAGAACTGGGTCAGATCTCTTCCATTTCTACAGCAATAAAACTGTACCATAAAGAAAACAAACTTGTTCAAGTTTTCAGTTTTTAAAATGACAGCTCATCTTGTGAGAGAATGAATGAAACATAAAGGAGAGAGAAAGAATGTGTTAGGAAGTTAACCGTTTTTTTCTTTTACTTACTTTCTTCTGTTTTGTCTGTGAACAGATGGCATCAGGAGTAACACAAGCTTTTCTTTCCTTAATGCAGAAGGTATCCCACTGTTGAAAAACGAGCTAAAACCTTTAACGGATCAAGTTATGTGCCCGTACCAGAAGACGACCCCTTCTGTAAAGCTCTGCTCTTTGAATTGAGGCTATTGGACGACGATAAGGACTTTGTGGAAAGCCGTGATAGCTGTTCGCGAATCAGCAAAGCTTCAGTCTATGGACTTCCAACAGCAGGAAAAGAGCTGTGGCCCGTTGTGGCCATTCAGAAGAATGGCTTGGTTTATGTTAGTGTTCCACTAGTTGAGCAGACTTTGTCTACTCGCCCACCACTCATTAGCATTAGTGGAATCTCACAGGCCTTTGATCTCCTTTTTGGGTTGATTGATTTTTTCGACTCCGGGCCCAAGACTGAAGCTGATCTAAGCACTAAAGTGAGCCAGCTACCTGATTTGCTCCTGTACATTTGTCCATTTGGCACTTTGTTGGGTACCAACTTTTTATTAGATAATTTTAGTAACCTTTCAATAAATCGAGCCCCAAAGCAACCAGCATGGAAAGCCGGTACTTACAAAGGAAAGGCACACGTTGCTGTTTCTATTACTGAAAAAGTTAAGTCCATGCAGTATGATAAGCGGGATGTAGCAGATATGTGGCAGGTCTATGGAACTATAACCTGTAAGGTGAGACTTTCTGGTGCGTGTTCAGTGAACCTATTTTATATATGTTGAGAAAAGTAAAAGTACTTTACTTTAGTAAATGTAGTACTACAGCTTAAATTTTATCTGAAGTGGTAGTCCTTAAATGCCAGAGTGGTATGAACTATTAATTTTATTACTAATGATGGACAGATCACGTCATCATTTTCCACCTGAGTTTCTTGTATAAAATAAGGGCTTGGACTAAATGATTTCTAAGGTCCCCACAATCTTTAACACTCAGTGTTTAACACTCAGATTCCATTACATGCCCCACCAATTTTCTACTAGATTTTATAGGAGGTAAAACTGACTAATCTCTAAATTGGTACCTAAAGTCATTAAAAGTCTTTTTCCCCCCTATTTTGTTTTGATTTAAATGAACCATTAAGTAATAATCACTCCTACTGGAATCCTGTTTAAAGTTAAAGATTGTGAAAAGGCAACGGCGATGTTAATAAAAATGCCAACTTTTAAAGTCCATCTTAGGGGCAACTAGGTGGTGCAATGGATAGAGCACCAGCCCTGGAGTCAGGAGGAACTGAGTTCAAATGCAGACTCAGACACTTGACACTCACTAGCTGTGTGACCCTGAGCAAGTCACTTAACCCCATTGCCTAGCCAAAAATAAATAAATAAATAAGGTCCATCTTTAAAAATGGTCAGAAATCCCTATAAATAATATACCTATAAGTAAACATTTTGTAGCTGTTTTTAAATAACATTATTTTTATATTGTTTTATTCCCAGAAATCTTCCTTCAGTCTTTATGTTTTAAATGTAGACATTGATGTCTAACTTATTTTAATAGTATATAGCTACTGAATATTGTTGACAACATTAATATGATAAGATATAATGTCATTAGGCATTTCATTTTTTTGGTTCACTAAAGGAACTCACTATTTAAAGGAATCTTATTTTTAAATTATTTGTAAAGCAAATGTTTTGCTTCCTCCATCACCATCCCCAAAGGAGGAGAAAAAAAAACCATACACATATTTTATCTTTTGAGTGTAATAGAAAGAATACTGGATAAAGTGCCCAGAGATTTGAAAATAGAGGTTGAGTCCTACTACAGACTGACTTAGCAAGTCCCTTTCTTTAGTCCTAGTTTCCTCTGCCTCAGGAGAATTAGACAGGTTATCTTTAAGGTCCTTTCACTAATTCTAAATACTGATAACTATAGATATAGATATACCCACACATATGCATATGTATGTATGTGTGTATATATGTATATATGTACATATGAATGAAAGAGCTTAAAATGAGATGCACTTTTATCTTACAAATCGTAATCCCTCCCTTTTTTAGGGGGAGGGAGCATGTCAAGAGCATTGATTTTTATGAAGAGGTAGAAATTGGCTCCACCCATGCAGATTGGCAAATCTTCTTTGTATAGTCTTAAAAGATTGCCTGAAACATGAGATGTGAAGCCAGTATTCTCACAGCTAGTCTGTGTCAGGGTGGGATTTGAGCTCTTCCAGGCTGCAAGATTGATCCTTTTATCAATTATACTATACTACATCACTGAAATATATTGCTTTGTTGCAAATTACTAATGATCTAGTCATCAAAGTGAACGTAGTAGCTAATATTGCAATGAGTTATACAAGGAAACAATAGTGGTGTTTTTTTCATCACTAAGAATATGAACACCTGAATTATATGCACATGGCTTAACGTCCCCTCTTTCTTAATAGTAGCTAACTAGTGGCACTCGGTTGCCAAAGAATTAGAATAAATGAAGGGAGAGAAAAGAGAAGCAGTGTAGATAGTAGATAGAAAACCAGTTTCCGGGCGAGGAAGGCCTGGGTTCAAAGTAACCTAACTGAGTGTGTGAATCTTACCAAGTCACTTAGCCTGTGGTGCCCTCAGCAATTCCCTAGTACTCTAAAGTTCAAAGAAGGTGCCTGTCTATACTGGGAAGAGTTCCCTCTACCAGTAAAATCACAAATCCTTTCCTTATCCTCGGGGGGAGAAACACATGTTTTTACTCTTGTGTACAAGCCCACCTCAAATTGACTTTCATTTATACCCACATCATAATCATCAGAAAGCATTTGTGAAGAACCTTTTTATGCATGGTGCTGTGCTTGATGCTCATAGCGCTGTTGTCTGCCTACAAAGTACTTATGACCAAAAATAAGCACATTGCTGTGAACACCCATACAGGGTATTTAGACAATAGGTTGAAAATTTTAAACGTGAATTTCAAGGATAAATATATTTTAGGGGCTAAAGCAGGGGTAGATCATAATACGAATTGATGTCAGACAAAGTAGTCATTGAAGTTCCATGCTTAGATTCAATAAAGCAGAAACAAGCGATTGTCTCTACTGTGGTCTGTCTGGAAAGGTTTCATAGAAGAGGAGATAAACTGTTCAGGAGACTTGGATTTGAGTCCTGCTCTTGACACTTGAACCTCAGTTTTCTCATTTGTACAATGGGGATAATGCCAATAAAGTACCTCAGAGGGTTATTGTGAGGCTCAGTGAGATAGGTATATAAAGTATATATAAAGCACATTGCAAATCCTAAAATGTTATCTAAATATCAGCTATTATTGTTATTATCATCTTAGGATCTTGTTGGTAATAATCCTGTTTGTTTTTTTAAGTGTGATTTGGAAGGAGTCATGCCAAATGTTACAGTCAGTTTGAATCTCCCCACCAATGGATCTCCACTTCAAGATATTCTGGTGCATCCTTGTGTGACTTCCCTTGACTCTGCAGTTCTTACTTCCAGCAGCGTTGATATGATGGATGATTCTGCATTTAGTGGGCCCTACAAATTCCCGTTCACTCCTCCTTTAGAGTCATTCCACTTGTGCTACTATACATCTCAGGTAAAGTATGTGTATCTATCTATGTATGTGTATGTGTGCGTAATATGGCTTAGTGGATAGAGATCTGGTCTCAGAGCCAGGAAGACCCAGATGCAAGTTCTGCCACTGACACAGCTTACATAACCCTGGACCAATCACTTAATTTCTCAGTACTCCTGGAAACTCTTGAAGAACAGGTGGCAATCTGCCTAGGTAGAGAGAGTTATCTACAGGGATAGAATCATGGCCTCACTTTTAAAAATTACTAATTTGTATAGCTTATAATGCGTGTTTGTTTCAGAGCAGAATTTTTATAAGGTTTCATAAGATAGTAGATGAATAAAAATGAAAGTTTAAAATTTCATTGAGAGTTCTTCTGAATTCTATATACTTTCATAACATTAAATGCTGTAGCTTCAAGAGTGATCTGTCACACACCTTTATCAGTAAAAAATATTTGAACATAGACCCCCAGTGTATGTATATATTTATTTATAAATAACAGATGTACTCCTGTTCTTACCAACATATTACATGTGTTGTAAAACAGTGGTGTCATACTCAAATAGAAACATATCCCTGTGGGCCACGTATTGACTTAGAATGTCAAAAATTAACATTATCTATGTTTTATTGTATTTTTATTTATTCTGTTAAACATTTACCAATTACATTTTAATCAAATTCAAGGCACATTCAGGAATTTGACAGTTTGATACCCCTGTTGTAAAACATGTACCCAAAGTAAAAAATGTATGCATATAGACATATACATATATGTAGACACATATCTAGACATACCCATATATATGAAATTTATAAAAAAAAAATAAAGTAAGATAAAATAAATAGTATTTTAAAATATTTTATTAAAAATATGAAACCTGGGTCACATGGCACAGTGGATAGAGCACCGGCACTGGAGTCAGGAAGACCTGAGTTCAAATCCGGCCTCAGACACATAACACTCACTAGCTGTGTAACTCTGGGCAAGTCACTTAACCCCAATTGCCTCACACAAAGATACATATATGTGTGTGTGTGTGTGTGTGTGTGTGTGTGTGTGTGTATACACATATACATATATCTATATATCTATATATATGTATGTGTGTGTCTATATATATAGGTGTATATATATATATGTGTGTATATATAGGTATATAGGTATATACATATATACATACACACACACATGTATATGTACATGTGTGTATGTGTGTGTACATATATGTATGTGTATGTATATACACACACACATATATAACCCCTTTTTGCTCTCACTAAAAGTCATGTGCAACTCTTTGTGACCCCCATTTGGGGTTTTCTTGGCAGAGATACTTTAGTGGTTTGCCATTTCCTTTTCCAGCTCATTTTACAGGTGAGGAAACTGAGGCCATAGGGTTAAGTGACTTGCCAGGGTCACACAGCTAGAGAAGCCGAGATTTGAACTCAGGGAGATGAGTCTTTCTGACTCTAGGCCTGGCATTTCACCCACTGCACCACCTAGCTGCCGTATATGACTGATTAGAATTGATTATTTTTAAAATTTTGGCGTAACCCTCTGTGATACCATAGTTCTGAGATCTGGAGCTAAATCCATTTAATCCCAGTAGTTGGCTTTAATGAATGGTCTAGTTGAAGAAAACACTTCAAAAAAATAGGGAGATCCAATTGAAAAGAAGTATCTCATAGGCTGCACTTAAATCTTGAAACTCATTTTTCAATTTCACCCACCAGTTATATAAAAATTTTTTGTTATTGTTGAAATTCTGCTAGTAAATTTCTGCCTTCCCTGATGTCAGTCATTTGTTCTTGAAAACTAATTGGAAGGTGTTGCATTTTTTTAAACAAATAGACTTAAAATCCACTGACACTCTTCATTTGGAAGATTTTGAAATAGGTTAGGAAAATCCTTTCTAAGGTTTTTAAGTGTATAGATGCATATTTTTATGGGTGACATTTCTGGGACAAAAGTTTAGTTTTTAGATGTTTTGCAAATCTTGATGGCTTTAGGGGGCAGCTAGGTGGTGTAGTGGATAGAGCACCAGCCCTGGATTCAGGAGGACCTGAGTTCAAATCTGGCCTCAGACACATAACACTTACTAGCTGTGTGACCCTAGGAAAGTAACTTAACCCCATTGCCTAGCAAAAAACAACAACAACAACAACAAAAAATCTTGATGGCTTTATACTATTCCACCTTAATATCTTAAGGTACAGTATACACTTAGGGTGAGGTTCATTGTTAATATATAAATCCATATTTCAGATTATCTTGATAATTTTGAAATTTTTGTTTTGCCAGATGCTTGCCAGAACTGATTAGATCTTTGTGGTCTTCGCCTTGTAGCTGAGACCTAGGAATAGAAGTATTAGCTCTGCCATTTTTTTTGTTTACACTCACATTATTAGTTGATTTGTTTACAAGAATTTTTTAAGCCACTTGTCTATTTTGTGATGGATAGTTTAGCTAAAACTTGATAATATAATCTGTAAATCATCTTAGCCAAGCACATGTAAATTATGATGTATCAGAATATTGCTGAAAATGAACAAATGAGTAAGGTTATCACCATCAACCTTGCCATGTTGTAAAACTTCCTCATGATACATTTACATATAACATGTGACCTTAATTCCTTATTTAAAATAACAATAAGTATAAATAAAAGTTATATTATTTTCTTCATGGTTCTCTTTTTGGAGCCCACTGTGGGCTGTTTCGCTTGATCCGTGGTCCTGTATTGTATGTCTGGCTTTAAGCAATAGCATCTTATTATGATCATAACAGATGAGAGGTTTTCCAGGAAAGAGCAGCAGAAACGTATTTCACAAATATTCTCTTTTTCTTCTTAATATATTTTCTTTTTTATTTTTTTCTAACTTTTTAACATTTTTATTTAAAGTTTTGAGTTTCACATTCTATTTCCTTCCTTCCCTCCTTCATGTGCAATTATGTAAAATATTTCCATATTAGCCATTTTGTACAAGAAGAGTTGAATAAAAGAAAAAAATGGAAAAAAAGAAAGTGAAAAATAGCATACTTCAGTCTATATTCAATCCGTATCAGATCTTTCTCTGGAAATGGATAGTATGCTTCATCATTCATTAGTCCTTTGTGATTGTCTTGGATCAGTGTATTGCTGAGAATAGCTGAGCCATTACAGTCCTTCATCAAACAGTATTGCTGTTACTTTGTAAAATGTTCTCCTGGTTCTGTTCACTTCACTATGCATCAGTTCATGAAGGTCTTTCCAGGTTTTTCTGAAATCGTCCTGCTTGTCATTTTTTAAAGCACAATAATATTCCATTGCAATCATATACCACAGCTTGTTTAGCCATTCCCCAATTGATAGGCATCCCTTTGATTTTCAGTTCTGAGCCACCACAAAAAGAGCTGCTATAAATATTTTTGAACAGATAGATCTTTTTCCCTTTTTCTTTGGATGTCATTGGTATATAGACCTAGCAGTGGTGTTGCTGTATCAAAGGGTAGGCACAGTTTTACAGCCCTTTCGGCATAGTTCCAAATTGCTCTCCAGAATGGTTAAATCATTTCACAACTCCAACAACAGCATTAGTGTCCCAGTTTTCCCACATCCCCTGCAACGTCCAGCATTTTCTTTTTTTGTCATATTAGCCAATCTGATAAGTGTGAGGTGGTACCTCAGCTGTTTTAATTTGCATTTCTCTGATCAATAGTGATTTAGAACTTTTTTTATATAACTGTTAATAGTTTTGATTTCTTTGAAAACTGTTCATATTCTTTGACAATTTATCAATTGGGGAGTGACTTGTATTTTTATCAGTTTGACTCATTCTCTATATATTTGAGAAATGAGGCCTTTATCAGAGATACTTGTTGCAAATTTTCCTCCCAGTTTTCTGCTTTGCTTGTAATTTTGATTGCATTAGTTTTGTTTGTGCAAAAACTTTTTTTTAAAAATTTTCTATAACCAAAATTATCTATTTTACATTTTGTAATGCTCTCTATGTCTTCTTTGGTCCTAACTTTTTCTCTTATCCATAAATCTGACAGATAAACTATTCCATATTCTCTCAATTTGCTTATGTTATGGTGTCACTGTTTATGTGTAAATCTGTATCCATTTTGACCTTATCTTGGTATACAGTGTGAAATATTGGTTTATACCTAGTTTCTGCCATACTGTTTTCCAGTTTTCCTAACAGTGTTTGTCAAATAATGAGTTTTGGTCCCAAAAGTTTGGATCTTTAGGTTTATCATATGCTACATTACTATGGTCATTTACTATAATGTAATTTGTACCTAATCTATTCCACTGATCCACCACTCTGTTTCTTAGCCAGTACCAGATTGTTTTGATAATTACCACTTTATAATACAGTTGGAGATCTGGTGCAGCTAGACTACCTTCTTTCATATTTTATCATTAATTCCCTTGATATCCTTGAATTTTATTCTTTCATATGAATTGTTATTATTTTTTCTAGCTTTATAAAATAATTTTTTGTTAGTTTGATTTGGTATGGCATTGAATGAATAGATTAATTTAGGTAGAATTGTCATTTTATTATATTTGTTCGGCCTAGCCATGGGCAATTAATGTTTTTCCAATTGTTTAGATCTCACTTTATTTGTATGAAAATTGTTCATATAGTTCCTAGGTTTGTCTTGGGCAGGTAGACGCCCAAGTATTTTATATTGTCTACAGTGACTTTAAATGGAATTTCTCTATCCCTTGCTGCTGGACTTTGTTGACAATATATAGAAATGCTGGTGATTTATGTGGATTTATTTTGTATCCTGCAACTTTATTAAAGTTGTTAATAATTTCTAGTAGGTTTTTAGTTGATTCTCTAGGATTTTCTAAGTGTACCATCATATCATCTGCAAAGAATGATAGTTTTGTTTCTTCATTGCCTACTCTAATTCCTTTAACTCCTTTTCATTCTTTTATTGCTATAGCTAACATTTCTAGTACAGTATTAAGTAGTAGAGGTGATAATGGGCATCCTTGCTTCACCCCTAATTATAT